ATTGTTATGTATTAAAACAAATATCATATTTATTTGATTAGTGAACTTTCAATCTAAATTAGTATTTGATTCATATAATTAAGAAAATCATTGAAATGCTCTAAGGCAACATGCGGTTATAAGAATAAAAATCATTGGAAATGAAAATCAATTATTTATTTAAAAGTTTCATTGTTTTCTTCAAAATTAGAAAAGTTGTCCAAAATATTTTTTAAATACAATTTTTTATTGACATTTTTTTAAGAAATTATAACATGAAAATTTTACAAATTTTATAGAATTTAACTAGATAAGAAAAAGGAATTGTTTTGACACTTATTTAGTATATATTTTTAGTATGTGTATAAAAATTAGAATACAAATATTGTAAAAAAAAGAAAGTGCATTATAAAATATTGAATACAAAATTATATTGAATCAATGTTTTTGAATTATTTGATAAAAATAAATATATCACTTACCTTACAACTTGAATAACTTATCTTGTTATATATCATAAAATTGACAATAAAGAGCTACATTGTCTTTTAAAATTTCCATTAATAATAAATTTTATTTAATTGTTTGTTATGTATGATGTTGGATATTAAATAGTAAAATAGTCTAAGTTATTATTTTTAAAATTTTTAAATCATCAAACAATGATGCATATATTAGTAAATACACATTAAACGCACCACGTATTTCTTATTTGATTCTTTTAGTCAATAGCAATTGAATTAACCATGAACAAATAATTAATCTTGACAAAATTATTGACAAAAGGCATCCATTCATGGCATAAGTGAAAGCAATTAACATTTTAATTTAAAATTATGTTGTTGTACCAAAAAAAAAATTATGTTGTTGATTCATGCAAAACAAATTAAACAAAAAATATATAATAGAATAAAACTACATATATTAAACGTAAATAAACATGATATTCAAAAAAACTACAAATGAAAGATAAAGTCTTAAAGCGAAAATAAAAAAAAAAATCTATGTTTTCTTTCCTATTTCATAGAATGTGAGATTTTTATCTTGTTGTAATATAAAAATTTTAGATAAAATGTTTTGAAATCAAAGAGAGATTCATGCTAGTATGAAATTCAAGCAAGTAGAAAAAGTAAATGACTTAAGATCATTAAGAATGAATAACATATAAATGGAGTTTAATTGAATATGTATAAAAAAAAAAGAAAAAGAAATAATACCAAATATGATAAAGTAAAAATATTTATTGGTTGAAAAAGGTAAACAAAAGAGAAACAATACCTAAAGTAAAAAAATACATTTTTATTGTTAACAGCAATTGAAAAATTAAATCAAATTAAAAATAACTAAAAATAAAAATCATTAATTGGTGCATAAAACATTCAATGGAATTTTTTAAGTAGAGATTTACCTAATCACAACTAAACAAATGCATTTAGACGGTTTTGGTGAAGTTTTAAACAATCAAATGCATTTAGAGGGTTTTGGTGAACCTTTGAACAATTTTAGTATAAGATGATTCTCTATTTATAATAGGGAAGCTCTTGTAAATTTTGAAGTAATTTAAGCAAATCAATTATTTTGGGTTATTTAATTATCATCATATTTTTAGCTTTTATTTTGAAAAGCCTACATTTTGTATTTTAAAAATTTTTGATTAGGAGGAAATTATGCATTCAAATTAAGATGTTTTATATGGTAATCAATTACTTGTAGTACGATCCTAAAAAAAGACACCTATATAGTATATAGCAAAAAATATGTTTAAAAATAATTAAGCTTTTATTTTTATTTAAATTCTTGATATTAAATGATTTATATATTTATTTAGGTTGATAGATTATTGTATTAAATACCAAAATTACATTTATTAGTTGGAACGTCAATGCAAAAAACAATGAAAACCTATTCATATCTCAAAAGTAGAATTAAATATTAGAAAGTGAATTTTTTTACACAAATATAATTCAAAGTTGAATATTTATAATTGAAAAAAGTGTCTTAACAAAATTATTTTATATATTAATGATGGAAATTAAACTTTTATTACCTTCTTTATAAATTTAATTGAGAATGATTTAAGGCAAATAAAACTAAATTTATTTAATTTAGTTTTTTTGAATTATTAAAACGCATTTATTAAAGAACACATTAATTTTTTAGATTGTCTATATCTCAAATATGTAAACTATCTACATCAAATTAGTTCTTTTTTGTTAGAGAATTTGGCTTTTATATATTTATATAAGATATAAGATAATGATAACTTTCATATGAATTTAATGAGAGTGATTGAAGGTAAATAATAAAAAAATGTAATCAATTTAGTTTTTTAAATTATTTTTTAAATTAAAAATATTTCAAATAAAAGAAAATACATTTATTAAATAAAACATGGCATTTTTTTAAGACCATTTGCATGTCAAAAATATAAATCATTCACATTGGACGTTTTCCTTTTTTTGTCAAAAACTTTGTCTTTTATACATTTAAATAAAATAATAAAATTAATTTAAATTTAAATTATATTTGAAAATTAAATTTTAATTTTATATATTGTCTTATAAAAATATATTTCTAAAACTTTTTACCTGTCAATTATTTGATATTCAAACAAAAACTTATAATTTTTGGAAACAATATAATCATTTAAACAATTAATATATTTTTTATAAAAATAATTTATTAATTTTATTACTTTTTTTAGAAAAATTTAAGTTAGTACCACGAATATTGATTTGATTTTTATATTTGTGCAGTTTTTTATATTTATAATTTAGCATCAAATATAATCTAAAAACTAACGAACAAAAGTATAGATTATTGATATAATATTAAACTCTTTGTTCCAGTGATCAGAATTCTAATTCTAATAACCTTAAATACTAAAAAGATATAATCTAAAATTATCTATTAAAATGCATGTACATAGAGAAATAGGAAAAAGTAACCAATAAACAAATATGAGCTTTCTAATAAAATTTTTAAAATTGATTATTTAATGGTTATTTGATACATATATATATATATATATATATATATATATATAAATATGTTGATTGCAATCAAATTATTAAGTTTTTAATATATAAAAATAAAATTTAAAATTAATTTTAACATATATTTCTTAGATTATAAATTTTTTAATATCTTTTGCTTGATAAATTCATAAAAAATTAAAATAACTTATTTTAGAGTAAGTGATTGTCCAATAAAAAACACTATTGTTACACATGGAAAGGTAAATTTAATAAAATGAATTTGCATTTTATTTATTATATAAATTATAAAAATAAAATATATGTAGTACACACAAATTAATAAAATTCAATATGATAATTGATTTAATTTGAAAATTATAAAAAGATGAATTTCAAATTCATATATACATATAAATATTTCAAACTTACTATTAAATAGACATCCAACAAATCTATAAATTTGAAAAATAATTATAAAATAATGTTTATATTTACATGTGATTTATCATACATTTTATACTAATTTAAAAATCCAAATATCTTCTTTCAAATTTAAGTTTCTAAACATAAGATGGTGGAAAAAATAAAAATAGAATATGCTCTCTAATATTAAGTACGATTATATATAAAGAATTTTTTATACTTCAATTTCAAATTGAAATAACTATAATATATAAATTTAAAATTTAAAAGAAAGATAATATTTTTGAAAACTTAATTAATTAAAATAATTTTACAAAAATTAGAAGTTCTGTTTCAACGCGGTCAAAAACTTTTTTAAATATAAATTAAGTTAAAAATATCAGGTTCAAGTTAGGTATAAAAATAATAATTTGGTATTGGATTAAAATACATACATATATATATATATATATATATATATATATATAAACCTGTTCTTGTCTAATCCATTATCATTCCTAAGTGAAAGTTTCAATGTGATATTCTCATTTAGTTTCCTTTCTTTTTTTGTTTGGGTTTTTTTTTTTAGTTTTTAACTTTTTTGGTTATTTTTAATTGTCTTTTTTAATATTTTTTAACTATGTTTGAAAAGATAAATTCCAAACGGTAAATTTGTATTTTATTTGTTATACAAGTTATGAGAATAAAATGTATACATTATCAACAATTGGTTGATAAATTTTTACTAATCATTTATTTTATTAAAAAAATTATAAATAAAATTATATTCATTAATTTATTAAATTAAATATTATTAACTACAAAAAAAAATTTGAACCTACAACAATGCACGGGGACATGACTAGTAAAACTAAAAAGCTAAAGCTAAGCAGTTCACTCGCAAAGAAGTGTGAAAAGGAACGCAAACCCACCAACATCATATATTTTTCTTAGGATGGTAAAGCTTGAAAGTGATTACATTTGGATTTAGGGGTTCATCAAATTCCAATAACGTGTTATTAGCCACGGAAGCCAACTCCTTTGATCTGCCACATCCTTCACAAACTTTAGGATATCTTTATTTCTTGGATAATCAGAAACATCAATTACGTTCTTTTGGTTGAAGCTTTACAAAATAAAGTTACAAGAATAATTTTGAGGTAATAGAAAAAGATGATATATATTATCTTAATAAAATTATTATTTAATATATTAATTGAAGAGATTAATTTAATGAAATTATTACGTTTATATATAATTAAAATGTATGACAAAAATAATATATAATTAAAATATAATTTATATTTAAAATAATAGTTTTATAAATATTATAATAAATTAAAATTATTAAATTAATTTTGAATTGAGTACTATATACATTTATTGAATGGGAACGAAATCAGATGAAGCTATAGAAGAGTCGAGAAGAGATCGATGTAAGCATAAAAGAATGAGTTGAGATCAGAACGAGTAGCACCTCAACCCGTACCACTGCCATATCTAGATGAGGTTGGCTTTGAATCTAATTAAAAATTGCAACCTCGGCCTCTCAGGGAATTCAGAAAAAGAAAAGTAATTACTACTAAAGGTTTTTCGCACAAAAAGAGAGACAAATAAATAAATAAATAAAGATTTTCTTGTTTTATAACTTTGCTTCAAGCGAAGAAATAGAGATGACATTATAGTAAGAGGTTCACACAGTTGACAGTTAAAGGTGAAAATTCTTTAGATACTTAAAATTATGTAAGGCATTAATGCAACTAAAAATGGAGGGAGGGAGAGATTGAGGGGCCTTTTGCCCTAACAAGAAACTCAAGCAACTTTACTCGCCTGCTTGAATAAATATCAAGGGGGAATGCTTCAATTTCTACACTATGATATTTAAATGAATTATACAAACAATTATTCCCCTTCCCAACCCATTTGTCGAGCTCTTTGCTCCCATAATGTTGTAACTTTCCTCTCCTTGATCAGCAAGGCCTCGGCCCGCTCTCTGGCCTCCTCACAGGTCTCTGTGGCTGCAATACATTTTTCTGCCTCCCTTTGGTACTGGGAAGCCACCCTTTTTGCTTCACCAATGGTGATGTTCATGTGGCGAGCATGCTCTTCAGCAACAGCCTCCTGCAACTTCAACTCCTCTGTCAAAAGGTCCACAAATTGCTTCTCCATCTCTTGCTTGAGATCAGGGTCATTGCTTCCACAATCTGTGTCACCATAATTCATATCATGCATACATGATTGTGGTTTCACCAGATGAATGGACAAAGTACACAACAGGAAGAAGAGCAATGATTAACTTGATAAAAACTAAAAAGATGAATATAAAGAAATATATCATAAAGTTAACCAATTTAAGTTGATAGAATAACTAACCTGTGACTGAGAGATTGGCCAACCCTGCAGAAGAATAACAAAAGCACAAAAAGGTAAATAAGTAATTCAAGAGTCGACCAGAAGTAATGAATACATTTACCAGACACAAGCACACTTACAAAATTTTACAAACATTGCCCCTGTAACTAGCACGAACACACAAAACAAGGAAAAAAGCAGTATATGGAGCTGCGGATTCTGAATGCGAGCTCATGATTACAAGGTAATATTGTCTAAACACAAAAGAAGCCATATAATATCAGGTGTGACCGAAAGAAAGAAAATAGTTCATGTAGTTATCTGATCAGGCTAACTGTAGCAAGTTCTCCCCTTCTTCTGAACACCAGTGTCAGACATTAGAATTATTAAAGTGGGGTTATCCCACATCTAATAAATATCTAATTTCTTGTAGTCTTATATTTAAGTTGAGCCCCTCCACATACTGCCAATTGGTTTTAAAATTGGATGCTTAATATGGTATTTTCCTTCTGTTGCCATTTCCAAATCTATCACGTGATGGGCTTCTTCCATTTCTGCCTACACATGATAAGGGTCTGTTAAAGTGATGTTATCCCATATGAAATATGTCTAATTTTCCTATAGTCTTCTATTCAAGTTAGGCTCCTTCACTTACTGCCAATTGGTTTTAAATTGGATGCTTAACAAGAACTTTGAAATTTTTTTACTTTGTGCTTGTTATTTTGTATCAATGCAGTTGATGAAGATAGAAGAAGCCCAAATGCAAGCCTCTTTACATGATCAATACCAAATTTGTTAATATTCTGGACAGTTGCTGATAAATTAAAAAGCAAGATCAATGGTGCAACAGCACCACAAACAATCAATGAAATTCCTGAATAATCAATTTCCATCATTCATGGACAACTCGTGTATTATCCTAATGTCATTCTTGAGTTTCAAAAGGATCATGTAATTCATTACTCTACACAAGCTCAAAAACACAGCTAGACAAAGTATAACAAATTTCCACAAAGGGATCCATATTAAATGCAACCACATCTGAGTTAAATCCATAAAGGATCAAGGCAGGAAAAGAAAATCTTCATTCTGAGGTGTTTAAGAAAGAGACTATTTTATAAAGTCAACATGCTGTGATATTTCAATAGTCCTTCCAGACATGTAGAGAGATCATTTCAGTGCCCTCCAAGTAGAACTCAATAAGATTATAGTTTAAATCTCCCTACAGCAAGAAGCACCAAAATCACAAAGAAGAAGGAAATAATAGTTCTTTCAAGCGATGATATCTTATTGCAAGGTTTGTTGACCTTAAAATCCAGAAAGGTCATCACCTAACTTAACTTACTTGTTGGTCATACGCATCAGAAATGGACCTAGAAGAGTCGCTATTCATTCAAGTTTTACTAATAGAGTCATTGTGCACATAAGGAAGGGGGTACAAGACAGGGACAAAGCATAGAGCTCGGGTTTCACAGTTAGTTAGCAATGACAACAAAATCAGTGCCTGTAAATTCCTCAACCCAATATATGATTAAACAAGCACAAATCTGAATTCAATTTGGTTTTACTTAATTACATCCTGTTGCATGTCAACGGCTAAGCAAATTGATACTCCAAAACTAGCAGCCGCAATAGATCAAAATCTCAAATAAAAGAAGCAGGAATTTGAGGACATTACATTCCCAAAGCTAAAAATGCAAAATTAGCAACAACAGCAGATCAAGACCCTAAATTTCACAAATGGGTATTCTTAAACGAAGTCTTAATAAACAAACAACCAATCAAAATAAAAAATTTGATGACAACCCAGAATCACAAAAAGAAAAAAGATGAAATTTGATTACAAATAAAATGACCCAAAATAAGAAAGGAGGGATACCAGGGACAATCTTGAGAAGGGAAAGAGGAGGAGGGCAATCACAGATGCAAGGAGGACAAGAGGATTTGGAATCACCCAATCTGAGAGTTTTCTTGAATCTCCAATAAAGAGCAGGTCCACACACTACCAATGCTGAAACTACTGCAAATGTTACTAGGCATAACCTAAAGCAAGTACCTGATCGCCGTGACATGTTTGTATCTCTCTTTAGCTCTTTTCTCCTAGATTCTCTTTCTCTCTCTATTTACTCTGCATTTATGGAATAGTGAGATCTAACAAGGTATTCATTAATTGATGGCTGTGAATATGACTGATGAATCTACAGCTTCAAATGTCATTTTAATGTATTTTATCCTCATATTTTTTTAATTCTACTTTTGGTTTTTGAAGAAGTCAGTGTCAGCAGGCCAAATTTCATCCCACTTCTTCAAATTCTAAAGGCTGTGGTGGATTCACGGTCACAAAGAAAGCTATCCAGGCCCAACAACAAAATCCAAGGAAGTGCTTAAAAATATTATAGGTTAATGTTAGGAACAATCTTAAATTATACTAAAATTATATTTAAAAATAATATAGTATTATATAATTCAATTAAATTTATTATAAATTAAAAATCGTTTAATTATCCTCAATTTTTGTAAAATTATTGTCTCTTTCTTAGCAGTCAAAGTCCTTTCAGTTTTGGGCTTGGGTAATGGGTTTTTTCGTTTTATTTTATTTTTATATAAAAAACAGAAAACACTTGTACACGCTGTAACTCTAAAAATAAATTTTCTCCCCTCTAGGCTGTAGAATTAGAAATACTCGTGGCGTGTGGGTAGGCAATGGAAAAGTTGGAATGGAAATATTCCATATAGGTTATCTTATATATATTTTTTCAAGATTGAGTGGACATAGCATGGTCATATAAATGGCCAAAATTTCTACATAAGCCTAAGGGTGAACCTAAATTAGATGACACATAAAGCTTCTGGGAAGAAGAGTTTCAAAACATCGATTGATTCAAATTGCTAACGTTTTACATCAAAACTTCTGTCATCCTTAATTTCTACATGTCTGAGATATGCATAATACTCATTTAATCACTTTTGGATGATCTCAACTTCTTGTATCCTCTGTTCAATAGCCAGTCAGGATCGTCTTTTGTTGCAAACCGTAAACCAACATGGTGGGCTCCTAATACAGAACAATGGGAGAATTTCTTAAAAAGTTCGTAACAATTGACAAATATGTCAAAAAAAACAAAAAAAAATGAAATGCTTTGTCATAATTTAGATAACTTTTTATGTGACAAGAGCAATGATACTGGCAGATATATTTTTCAGCATGCTGTATAATTCAAACCATAAATCAGTTTCTTTATGAAAAATTGATGTCAATTTGGCTCAAGGTACAGGATAATCTGTCACCTCGTAGTCGGCGTATGATCTGTTTAATGAAGCAGAAGAAAGAAAGTACTAAAAGGAGAACAACCTACCCTCCTATGCTTCATGGATCCCGCATTCCATTGGAAAATATGATATTGCTACCAAATCTATTCAATACTTTCTGAATTCTCTGCACAGGAAAGAGAAATTAATAAGTTCAAATATTCTCTCAAGTAATAGAACAGACAGATTTATCTACATTTTCATGAATGGAATCTTTAGCTTTGGATTCTTGCTTGTTTGATCAAAGACTGATAGGCAGCTCCAGAGAAAAATGCAGGAAATGAATTGGCTGGTGTAGTTAGTGGAAGTGATGAAGAATAGAAAGAAAAGAGATCGGCAACCAGCCACTGTCTCACAGCCACAGGAAGCAAATTGCTGGTTCTGGGCTGCTACTTCCTTGGCTTCAATGGCTTAAGCTTTTTGTAAGTTAGAACAGTCGGGGAAGGAAAATTTTCAACAGATGAGTTCATGATACTCTGTACAAAAAGGGTTATGGACCATGAACCGTGCTAGACCTTTTTGTGTTGAACACCTCTAATTTGTTAGCTAGCTGCCAACTGCCAGCTGGGGCTAAGAATGTCAGATTAGCAGCTGACTGGAGAAAAAATTGTCTTAAAAAAGCGTCAACCAGATCATTAAGAAACCGATACTAGAAAATATTATTGAAGTTCTAATTCTGGTGATGTGATACCGAAATCATAATGCAGACTCAGGAAAGGCCAAGAAGAGGATGTCAATTTCCAAATTAAGTAGGGGATCCATCACACTTAATGCACAAAAAAGCTTACACAAATTATGGCCAATGAAATTTGTGACGCTATAAAATCCATCAGTATTCAGCAAATGCAACATATTGGGGAGATGAAGCATGGCAATTATAAATCCCACTGTTTTAGACTTTTAGAGAAGTTGGCGGCTTGATTATCAAAGACAGAAAATAGTTGGTAGTATCAGCTTTGACATGACCACTGCAAAGGTGATGCTTGTCCGGTGAGATTTTTGTCAAAAAACAGAAATAAAGTGGTAAGATAAAGAATTAAAGACTGACTGAAGTGTATCTCAGTTATAATTAAAAATTAAACCCCATATAAGAAACAGATTTTCTTTCTCCAGCTAAATAAGAGAAAATTTTGAAATATGGCAAGAACAACCATTATTTCTCCTACTACAATTTGTTTTCAGTAAACTCAAATTCAACTAATGATTTTTTTAGTTGGATGAGATATCAATTTAACTTTCTTGTATCTAAGAGCTTCAACTTGGGGATTATAAAGGTTAAACTTGTCCATTTACCAACCTATTTGACTTACAATAGTTATTCTTTAAAGTGAAGGAAGATCTTAGTTCACTTGGCCACTCACCTTCATTTCTTTCCATCCAATGAAATGGAAATATAAATGCAACACATTATTAACACAGCTTGTCTTTTGTTATAGGACCCATCCCATCAATAACTGTTTGAAAGCATTATTGTTCAATTATTATGAAATTTCTTTATCGATTTCAACTATCCTTCTCATTAATCTATTGTTCACATCAGTTGGCAATAGAATTTAGGGAATTTTATTTATATCTCATTTAATATTATATATATTTCATTTTAATATATATCTCAAATTTAAAATTAAATTTTTTCATCTTTGTTAAACACACTCCATCCCTCATTTTTTATCTTTTATTTTTACCCTTCCTCTCTTTTTCTTTCTTCACTTATTGAAATTAAGTTTTTCATAAATGAATATCCGAAAAGTTTGAAACTTTTTAAAAATAGATATCTAAAAATTCTTAAAACTTATCAGATATTCATTTTTTAAAGGTCTCAGAATTTTTTGGATATTTATTTTCAAAAAGACTCAATTTTTCTTGGATATCTATTTTCGAAAATTCTTGAGTTTTCTTGAAAATAGATATCCAAAAAGATATGAGGCTTCTGAATATTTATATTCGAGAAGCTCAAAATTTTTTATTTTTTAGGCTTAAGACAAATCTGTCAATAAGAATCTCTAATCTTTTAATCACCATGTACTACCCATTCAATGATGTTTACAATATTTTTACAATTATGATAGATATGCATATGAAAAGAATTGCTAAGTGTAAAGAGGTACTTGTGCAAATTGATTATTACACCATGTGCAATGAAATGTGACTATCTCATCACACATGGTACAATAACCATTTGCATGAGCGCTATTTGTAATTAGCTATTATTTTCAAATGCAAATTTATTATTAGAATTGGACAAATGTTACGAACATTATTTATTGAGCAGTGTTTGACTAAAAGATTAAAAATTTTTACTACCAATTTTAAATATTTTATATGTTGGAGCTTGATCATCCTACGCTTACAATATAAAAAACAAACTAACAAATTTGATAGTATTTAATTTTTCGACCACCAGACCTTATTATCAAATTTGTTAGTCTATTAATGATATTTTTCAATGACTCAAATATTTGAGATCTTGATTTTCTTGTTATCAAGAGTTTATAATTAAATATATATTTTTAAAAAAATTACATATTCTTAAAATCAGATTTTCAAAAGTTATAATGTATTTCCTGAAATCCATTTCCAAAAAAGTAATATAAGTCTCAAAAATATATTTTCAAGAGGTATGTTTTGTTCTCAATAATCCATTTTTGAAAATTATGTTGCTTTTATCAAAAATAAATTTTCAAAAATATAATATAATTCTCAAAATTTTATTTTCAAAAAATATGAGATAACTTTTAAATGCATAAGTTATTAAGGATTTTTTATTATTTATTCAAAATTAAAATTAACATTTAATATGTGAGCAGTTTTTTAAAAAAATTTTGAAGGTATTTAAAAAAAAAATTATATGGTGTATTTAGAACACCCCTAGGATTTGTAGTCGACCTGGATAGACATGGATGTCAGATTAGCAAGCACAGGTCGAAAATGAATCTAAATCTTTTCTGGCAATTGCTATTCACTCCCTTGTCTAGCAATATTATAATTAGGTATGTAATCAATCAAGTTTATAATTAGGTATGTAATCAAGTTAGCAGGCCCAGGCCAAAAATGAATCTAAATCTTTTCTGGCAATTGCTATACACTTCCTTGTCTAGTAATATTATAATTTGGTATGTAATCGATCGAGTTTGAGTCAATATAATCTTAAACTTGAGCTCGAGCTAGATTCGAAATTCAAGTCTCGAAACTTAGATTAACAGCCCAGGCCGAAAATGAATCTAAATCTTTTTTGGCAATTGCTATACACTTCCTTGTGTAGCAATATTATAAATAGGGTATGTAATCGATCGAGTTTGAGTTGATACAGTATTAAGTTGAGCTCAAGCTAGATTCGAAATTCAAGTCTCAAAACTTAGCTCGAACATGATTAAGTTTTATTTTTCTAACTCGAGTTCGATTCGAGATAGAAATCGAGCTACTCAAGCTCGTTCGATTAGACGCGATTAATATATAAAAATAAGCTCAATTCTTATATTCGACAAAAGCTCGATTATTTGCACTTAAACTCGAGTTTGAGTTCGAGATATTTTATTAATTAAAATAATTAAAATATATTTAAATATAAAAACTCGATTATGCTTGTGAGTTACTCAAGCCAGGCATAACAATGCTCGAACTCAACTCGATCGATTAGTCAAGCTACTTGAACTTGACTCGATAATAATCGAGCCGAATTTAAATTTTATTCGAATCAAACCCGAATAGCTTACGAATACTAATATATCACTTACACCCCTAATTATAATAATTTATCTAAACAATCACACTCAAAATCAATTCAATTATAAAATTTAGTAAATAATTATAAATAATATTTTAAAATTTGTTAATAATAAAATTAGATTATGAATATAACAAAATTTATTTATATTTAATCTAATCATATATATCATATATATTATATTATAACATACATAGTTACTTGATAAAATTTGCTGACATGGACATTTACGTGGAATGTTTCATTTTTTGAGACGTAATAAAATTCTTAAAATTTCTCTTTAAAATAACACATAAGATATTTACTAATTTTAAATTATTTATCAAAAAG